ATTTATTTATTTATTTATTTATTTATTTATTTATTTATTTATTTATTTTAGATTCCATATATATGTGTTAGCATACGGTATTTGTTTTTCTCTTTCTGACTTACTTCACTCTGTATGACAGACTCTAGGTCCTTTTAAATAAAAATCCACATCAACGGATTTATTCCTCTTACAGTGCTGCTTGGGATCCTTCACAACTTCACTGTGAGATCAGAGAGAGTGAATTCAGCCCTACGTTTTGGATGAGAAGCAACGGAATAATTCAAGCCCATTCAGTGGTGAGAGGGCAAAGCAGAGCTGGCACAGAATGCCCATCGACGACTTGGAGGAGGACCGTCTTAGCGGCGTTTGTTTGTTTAGATTTGATGGACGGGTAACAGGAGCATCTGTGTCATCAGAGAACTGAGCCAATCTATGTAGGAGGAACATTCCGAGCGGAGGGTAATCCACTCTGCCAGCGAAACAGTCACTGTTGCCCAACTGCAGTGAGTTGTTTCCAAGTTCTGTGATCATGATTCTGAAAATATTTTTCTCACCTGAGTTCACTACAAGATTGAGCCCCCTGAGAACATTGGGCAAGATCGCTGATTCTAATCTGAAGTCAGAACAAGGATTCTAGAGGGAAATTGTTCTGATTGACATGAGAAGAGAGGAAGCAAACATCTGAATTGAAAAAAACAATGCATGTGTCTCACAGTCAGCCAAAAGCTGGCCGCCACAGGCAGATGAAATTCTGAAATCTAATAATGCACAAGGCAGTGATCTTTATGGAAATGAATGATTCACTGCACTATCTAAATCTTAAATGATACAAAGATAGAAAAACAGCAATAGACGGGGTCAAAATGCAACCAAAGGAGAAAACTACACTACCCAGGAAAGGCCTTCTGCTGAAAGCACAATGCAGTGGCAAATGTCTTTTCAAGGGAAGGGATAAAGTCTGTTGGTCCAAGAGATCTTATGCCTCTCAGAAGACTAGGAGTTTTCTCCATTTTAATGAACCCAAGCTTGCTCCAAATCTGGCAGCTAAAGGGACCCTATGTTGGATGACATTTCTATGCCCTCCACTAAAACCTGTGTGGTCCCCAAAAGGGCCAGCACATATCTGACGGCAGTGGGTGCCAGTTTCTCACTGACACGCACCTTTTCAGGTCGGGAGCAGAGTTGGTCACACTCTGACAGAGCCGTGTCCTCTAGATGCCCCTGTTCCAAAGGACTCCCTCTACTCTGATCTCAAAGCGCAAGTCACCGACAGCCCTCACTGGCCTCTCCTCCTGACATTCTCCCCTCCAGATGACTGAGTGAGTCAGGGGTGTCCTCTTGTGAAGCCAGGGGCCCAGGCCAGCCTCTCTCAGCAGTCGTGACTGAGTGAGAACACGCTATGCTCAGCCTGCTGGCTCCACTCTTGGGAGCACAAAGTATGTGTTACAGCAACAAGCACGAGAATTCTGACCACACTCTTTCCTATCTTGAGATCTGTAATGAGAACACTTAAAGCAAATGCATACAATCAGGAAACAGGGCTGAAAGTCAGAACACTAACGGAGTTTCAGATTTGTGGCTCTAAGACATGGATTCTTTCGCTCACTGGATCCAGACCCCACACGTTTTGGAAGAAAAGCAACAGCCAGAAGATGAGAAAAACAGTTCATGTTTATGAGACCAGCCTGAAGCCCATGCCACACTTACGAGTTTGGGTTTTCGTTCGGCAAAGAAACTAGCTGTTCTTTTTCAATTTCATCGGAAAATATGCCCATTAGTCTGACTCTTCAGCTTTAAGATCACTGTCTTGGAACCTTCTAAACCAGTAAGTGAAAGATCTCACTTAAAGATTTCATTTTAAACATAGAAGTTAGGAAAAAGTACCCGACATTTGCCAAAGTAATGCAATAAAAGAAGTAACGAAGAAAAACTGGGTAAAAAATGAAGTATGGCTACCCATCCCCCAATCCCTCTGGTTTAATTTTTGCAATAGCTTGGGTAACCTTAGTTTCCTGAGAACAGTTCGTTTAAAACACTCCTGCAGGTGGGACATTTCAAGTAGCAAGTCACAGAGAAAAGCCTTTGACCACCTCCTATTTCTCACGACTTGATGTTCTGTAAGGTGTGACACATGGCAGCACAACCACTTCCCTGGCTTCATGGAAGGACAAAACACATGGACCACACTCTATCTTGCATCCTTCCCCAGTCCTGGTTGATGATGAGATTTCAGGTGAAGGCCCAACAACATTTCACCATACAGGTTGGGGATCCCTGGGGTCATGCTTATTTACAACTGCCCAAGTCATGGCCTGGTGTCTGACCCAAACACAGGGTACAGAGCAGCAGCAGAAACTGAGCACTTCCTAGATCCATGAACACACCTAGTTGGCTTTGGGTCTGCACTGGGGTTAATCCCCCAGATACTACAACCATATAAGTGTTAAAAGAAAACATGCTGCATTTTAAAGCATGTTTATTTCTGCAAGTGCTCCAGTGTTTAATTATGCTAAAGTCATTTGGGGTTTTTGACACAGATTTTATTTTAGTACGATAAACTCAGTATAACCAGCATGGCCAAAAATGAATTCCTAAGGTAGATGACTAAAATAAACCAGTAATAAATATTGGCTGTTGGAATGGGAATTATTTCTCTGTAATGTAGACACAGCATTACTGACTCATTTTCAAATACCAGTCTCTCCCAAGGATTATTGGTATGAGGGATCAAGGAAGAAAGAAGTCCATCTCTCTTTTAGGCAGCAGAATGGAAGGAGACTATGAATCCACCAGGCAAGGGTGTTTTTAAATCTACTTTGCCAACAGAGATATAGCCCTGGAGTCTGACAGGGCGTCAACTCAGGCTGCACTGAGGCAGAAATAAGGCATTGAAAGAAACCATCCTAAGAGTTGAGGGAGCTGATTCTGGGGACATTTTCCTCTCATTCCCCTGGAGGCAGAATGTACCCCCAGACCCACCCAGTGTATATCATGTGGCACGAATTACCTTATCAGTCACAGTGGGTACTGCCATGCTCCTTTGCTGCTTGGAATTAGTGGACTCTTTGAGGCCACCTTTACTCCATAATGTCAAATCTTGAACTTTTGGCCTGCTAGGTTGAGCTGTACAACTTCTCTGGTGCACCAGAAAGCTGTCAGGGGCAAAGGTCCGGCTACAATTTGGGCAGGGTACGAGCTGAGCTTGACTCGGCCCCTCTTGGTTGGACTGTCCAGTTGGAAGGGGCTGAGGCTTCCGCGGTAGTGGCTGGCAGAACTCGCTAGGGAGCCGGTCATTTTCTATTTTCCACTTTTCCAGGCATTTGGGCTGATGTATAGGAAGGGACAGAGTGCCAAATTCCCTACCACAGACGTAGCAGATGAGAGCCCTTGGTCGGGTTGGGATGCCACCAGAAGCTTTCTTGAGAGCAGCAAGATTATCAGAACTGTTGGGGTTTGGTGCCCTGGGCCCCTCACCCTTCGGCCTGCAGCTTCTCTGATGAACAAGAAGCCGATCTGGCAAGAACTTGCGACCACAGGATTCACAGGGCAGCAGCTGAGCCTGGGAACCCTGGAATGCTGCCTGAAGATTGTAGGATCCACTTCCACTGAGAGGCAGTGGTTTGGAAGGTTCTGGCCTCCTCAGGTGCTTGGGCAACTTGCTGTTTTCAGTACGCCACTTCTCCAAGCACTGGGGCTCGTGAATGCCAAGCGATTGGGACCCAAATTCTCGGCCACAGATATGGCACACCTGGAACCCGGGCCTGCGGGATGGGATCACAGGGGGGCTGGGCTGACTTGCCGACATAATCCTCCTACTGGACCGTTTTAGGAGTATTACAGTTCCAGGTCTATTTTTCTGAGGGTCCGTTTTTATTTTTTCACCAGGATTGACAAGCTCAATTTCTGGCAAAAAGCTAGAAAGGGATGCACTAGATAGAACAGCTTGGTTTATAAGGAAGGTAGGCCCTTTAGAATGGTGGAAAGACTGTTGCAACGTGTTGGAAACCGTTTTCTCCTTTCCTCTTTCCATTAACAAAGAAGTCTTTCTCTAGTGCTTGCTCTGATTTCAGGCCAGACATATTTTGGGCTTCTGCTTAGAGAGAAGGTTAGTCAGGTTGGCTGTTCTGGGGTTCCACATTGTAGCCAGTACCTTAGACCCAAAGACAGTGACTCAGAGCTTCATTGCAAGGCAGCAGTCTGGAATGCTGGAAAGTCCCCATGAAACCTCAGATGCCTCCAAGATCTGCAGGGGAAACATAAATCAAGAAGTGATTACATACACACACACAGACACACACTCAGATTTTAAGTTGATAAAGAAACGTGTTTTTTTTTTTTTTTTTTTTTTGACCTAGTATCCTCTTTGGCTAGCATAGTAACTAGCACTTAGGATTTGTTCAGTAAATGTTGAAATAAGTACGAAAAAAAATTCCATTATGAATTGCACTGTTACTGTGTTGAAAGTAGTGTTCTGCCCAAAGGAAGATGGACATTAATAGCACATCACAGACATATATGGCACAAACCAAGAGGCATGGTGGTGAGATCATGGAGGAGAGAACCAAGGCCTCTGAAAATGATTAATGAAACTGCAGATCATGTAAAAAGACCTCCTTCCACTACCTTAGGGATTCTTTTTAGTGCCATGGATTCCTTTGTCAGTTCTTTGAAGCCTAGGGACCTCTTCCCAGAATAATAATTTTAAAAGCAAAAAATAAAATTCTTACTAGTACAAGTGAAACTAATTTTATTGAAATAATTTATCAAATATTTTTAGTTGTGATTTATCTTTTACTTGAGCTATAAGTAATATGCTAGAATTTTTGAGTGTCCATGGGCCTAGGGTTAAGAACCGGCAGAAGAAGTAATTCAATAGTGAATAGGAGGATTATCAGGGAAACCATCAGAGAGAGGTAAACTTCTTGTAACCTACCAGGTATCCACTCTTCTTCATCATGGGACGGGAGTATTATTAAATTGTGGCCGTAACTGTCAAGCCAAGATGCAACCCAGGGCTATACTCTTCCTGGCAGTATATCTGTACATCTTTCCTGGGATGAAGATGCTCAGACTTCACTTGATGCTCTTTTTATAGCTATTGTGTTCACGTTCTTGTTTTATATAGATATATCTCTATATAGATATTATCTATCTATGTATCTTCAAAATACCTTTTGTAAAAAACATGGCCAACAATTTTATTAAACCAGAAGAAAGGGCTGATAAGATCTCATTATGGTCAGAAGCCAAAGGAGTTTTTACCTTGGGTAAAGGCATGAGTCAGTTTTATCCCAGGTCTACAATCTAGCTCAAGAAAGGTAATTTTCAAAAGTCTTAGGACCTTCTTCATTTCCTGAAGGATGGCCTCACTCTGGATTAGAGGCTCCTATTCACAGAGGGAGAAGCACCTGATCTGAGGCTGGACCCTGCAGACCACAGCAGACACGGCTTTAGGTACAGCAAGGACAGCCGTGCTGGTAATATCAAAACACTGTTTGGGCATTGCGGTCGATAAGGGACAAAAAGAGCTGTGAGATATGCACCCAGTTCCTGTATTTTGGTGCCAAGAAAGGTCTACATCTTTGCAATTAAGGCTATCAAATCAGGTCTGGCACAGAAAAGGAAGTTATTCTTCATTTTGACAGATCCTAGGACAGTGATATTAACACATGTGACAAAAGAATGTGTTGGCCCCAAACAGAATGACCAACACAGAAAATGAAGCTTGAAGGAACAAAATTTATCACTTGATCATCACCATCCAAAGAGAAAATGGCTCTAGAGAACACAAAGAATCCAGTAAAATTATTTCATCAGGTTTTAAACAGCACATGACTGAAATAATCCTCCAAACCACTCTGCTTTTTTGGTTCTGATTTCTTGTTCACCAAGGATCTCCTGGTTCAGTTTCCCATTTTCCTTGATACCAGGAAGTTGCAGACAGCAAAAGCACTTAAGGAGACAGATTGGAAAAATCAATGCGATCAAATGAGCTTATTTCCCTAGACTTGCTTGCAGTCTCCCCACCTCCCCACACTGCTCCCTGGAGGTGAGAATTCTGAGAAAGCCCCATGACTTGCTCCAACACCTCCTGCATCTTTCCCTAATCATAAAGTAAGAGAACTAATATTTACTGAGTGCCAACTATGCATCAGATATTGTACTAATTTTTATTTACATAATTTCATTTAATTCTCAAATGATTATGAGGCAGGTATTATTATTTTCTTTTTACAAATGAAGAAACTGTGACTCAGAAAAGACAAGTAACTTGCCCAAGACAGTCAGTTTCTAAATGACAGAACTGGGAATCAATTCCTGCTCTCTTTGGCTCCGATGCTCGACTCTTTCCATTATTCATTCTGCCTAAAATTCCACCGGCAGAGCTTCTTCTCTTAAGTTTTTTATCCCTGTTTTAATGTACGATTCATATGCCCCATGGGAAGGTAACTAAGCTCTCACCTGCTTTTATGCTCCCTTTTAGAAGAAGGAAGAGGTGAAAGGGAGGAGGGGAATAGGGCACAGAAGAGGAGAAATCTCCAAGATGGAAAAAGCAGGTGAGAAACTGAGGTTACTGAAGACAGCGTTTTTCCTTAAGCGATAGGGATCACTTTATTTTGCTGTGAATGGTTTTCTAGATGAAGTTTTTCCCTGTGTGGTGTGCAATACATAATCCTTTCCTGATCTCACCAGTATCCTTAATAAAAATCTACACTACTAGCTGCAGGCGGTGGGCGAGAGGAATTGGCTGCAGGGTGAAAGTGAAGGCTTCCCAAAGAGGTCAGAGGGCATTCAGTTTGCAGCCCTGTCACTATTTTGATTAGGGATGGATCTCTATGCGTGCAGGTGCTTGTGCACTACAAATATTTTCTCTGCAGCAAAAATGACAAAGCATCATAAAATTCCCATTGAATCTTCATCTTTTCTTTTTTAATCATCCTCTTTCTTCCTCCAGTGTCCTCCTGAAAACTGTCTTATTGTGATTAAATGTATCAGTGTATGGAAGATGAGGTAGCTAGAAGCAAGTGAAGTTTTGGGCAACTGGAGAAATTTATGATGTTTTCTGCCAGTGATTCTGCTAAGGCAATGTGACAAGGCACAGCATAGTCAGCTGCTCTATCCTATAAGTTAGTTCTAAAAGTGAGAGTGCTGGAAAATACTAAATACATATACTTAAATCACTTAAGAATTTGGCCTGTCACCCAGATACATCGTAAAGCAATGTTGCTAGTTTATAAAGAGAACCACTTTGCAAAGCCAGCCAGTTTCACCCCAAGCATCCATGGAGAAATGTTCACTCCAACTGGCCTGAATTATTCATTTTGACCATATTTGCAAATAGACTGTTTAAAGAATGTCTTGGAAGGCATCACGTTTTATCAATATGATGCCATTTTTCCATGCCCTTTGGTGTTCATGGGAAGGGAGAGACAAACTCACAAAGATGAATATAATAACCATGAAAATCCAAAACTCATCTTAGCATTAGGAGGTGTTTCTCTACAAAAGAGGGGAAAGAACACAAGCAGAAGTGTGATGAAGTCTTTTGAAAAATAATTTAGCTCTTTGAAACAAAATAAACATGGATACATGACATTTTCTCTGTTAGTATAGAATCCAAATTCTTTAAATGGACAAATGAATAAATAAGAAAGTTGGAGTTGGGACTTATGCTGGCTCTGAGTAAAATGATAAAATAGAGGAGGTTTGTCTTCAATATCTTCCATCCACCCCATTCAGTAGCCTCCCCTGCCTGGTACCCTCATATACACTCCAGTCTTCCTTACCAATGAAATCTTGCTTTCAGAAAAGAGCTGATAGACTCTTTTACACCAAGAATTATGATTGATGAGATAATATCCCTCCCAGAGTCTGGCAGAGACAGCTAGTTCCCTACCAATAGTTACTCTGTGCAAATTCTCTCAAGTTAACAGAGCCCCACTTTCTAGCTGGGCACATGATTTCCCAGCCAAAAGTCTACAGGTTTCTTTGTAGCTAGTGGAAATATTATGTGGCACTTGTAAAAACTCCTATTGAAAAGTAGGGGACACAACCTGCTCCTCTGCCCTTCCTTCATACTGATAACTGATGGCTGGAGCTCTAGCAGCCATCTTGGGCCAGATTACATTCGTGTAACCCTTGACATGACAGAGTAGAGATGTTGATGAACTTTGGTCCCTGATAATATTAGAGCCATCATAGAAGCTCTGGAGTGTCTTCCTTGGGCCTTATTTACATAAGAGAAATAAATGTTTATTTGTATCTTAGCCAATTTTTAAGAGTCTTTTACTCATGTGAAAACCTAACACTGAGTTATAGTTTAATAGTTGTCATTATCTAGGCACAAAATGAATTCTAATAGTGACATTTCAAATTTCAGGACCTTTTTTTGATGAGAAAAAAAATTGAGAGGTTTTATGAGGCAAAACTGACTTATTAAATATACAGTTTTTCCTAAAAATCAGAAATAAAAAAGCTTGAAACTTTAAATACTGAGCCAATGGTTCTTAAGAAACTGATTCACAATACCTCCTTTCCTGGAATTTTTTTTTTTTTAAGAAAAAAATTAATTGACATTTTGCTTCAGAATGATAGAATCCTATTTTTTTCCATGAGATTTTGAAAGAGCTAGGAGGCATCATTGTTGTGCCAGTTATTAATGCACTGTCTCTGTATTCCATACTCTCTTTCCTATATCCATCTTTGTGATGCTGGCACTGAGACTCTGCACACCCTATTTCTGCTTTGCCAGCCAGCCTTGCATTATGATTTACCAATACTGGTAATGGGGGAAGAACGTGAGGTTAGAGGAGAGAGAAGACTTGTGTCTTTTTAAAGGGTTTCCTGCCTGCTTTTGGTTCTTGTATCACCCCAGCAATACTTCTTTATCTCAGCAAAAGCAGTTCTTTCCTGTAGCAGAAGGTGAAACCAGTTTACAGTTTTTGCAACATTTGCAAATCAGATTGATTTCCCCTCACCCAACAGAAGGCACCATCAGCTAGTCTGCTCTTCCTCTTTGGAAATCGGATTTTCAGCTCCATAGGGTGCTTCTTCTAAGTTGCTAAGTCGTAATAACTCAAACCTTTTCCCTCTGATCCTTCAGCCCTAGGAATGGTAGCTGCCACCTCCCTTATACAATAGTTCTCTCTTTTTACTTTGCTAGTTACCTAGGTAACAACTTCATTCCTGGTTAACAACTCTTTATATTCTCTCTGTTTAAATAACTGGTATGGTTTCTGTCTC